ATAGAGTAAACATAACTTTTATATGCACTGGGAAACAAAAAAAAAATTGTGTGACTCACTTTATTGCGGTGCTCTGGAACCGAAACCGCAATATACTCGAGGTATGCCTGTATACGTTTGCTTTTCGTGATTCCATCAACACAGAAACACCACAGCATATTTAAGTAAAGGAACGCGTTGTTTATTTCGATGATTTCAATATCCGAAAGTTCCCAAACAAAGCTTAACAGTTTCAAATTACTTGTAATTTCAAAGTCAAAAATATTCCTTATAGATTTTGCAAAATATCTTTTTACTAAATCTGATGTTGCTTTATCGGTCATGGCCATCGAAGTGATAAGGGTGCTCGGGTGTACTCCATCACCATGTCAGGACTGCATCTAATAAACCTTTGCTGTCTACGCTGAAGACAGCGGGACTTCGTGTCCAAAGTACGGGGAACATTCTGGAAATTCAGAAGTCCACGACTGTCCAGCGAGGACACAACACACACGCAGATTTGATTAAATTATAAACAAAATTATCTTTCGTTTCGCAATCTGACTAGACCCAAGCGCCTAATTACGTCATACTGACCAGGAGAGGTATATTTGGCACTGTGATGTACTCCTGGCGAGGTCTGTGACCAGCCGATAACTCCGGTACGTAGCTAAAGGACGTCTTCTGTTGATAGGACACTGTTCCGTTTGGGTTGAAGACGACGTTCACTTTCTCAGCATGTTCCCTGTAACAGAGGACACGCGTTCAGTCCCAGGGCAGTTCAACATTAAATCTCGATGGTAGAAGTTTCACTGGGACGGAATCTTTTTCTAGTCTTTATGTAATCCTCCGCCAATAAATTCACTTTTTAACCTTGGACTGGTAAAGTTTACAGTACACCCATCAGAGGCGGTCTTACATAAGTCTTTATAATAATAAATTTCAGTGCTTGCCTTTGAAGCATGTTTGTAAATGAATTTAATTAGATTTTCGATAAAGAACATCATTTAATATTTTAAATGTTAATTATTATAATATTTTAATATTTAATAAAAATTTATTGTGATTAGACGGACAAGATTTAATATATATTTAGATTATCATTATTGTCTGATGTGTTTAAAAAAAATAGTTTTAAGTGGGCTAACGTAATGGACGTAGAACTTTATGTCTGGTGTCTCTGCCAATGACGAATTCATATGAACCTGTCAATGGAGGAGAATAGAGTCGAACGTGGTGAAGTACATTATCGCGTTTGCCTGGAGTTCGATCCCCGTGGCACAACCGTTTACAGGCTGAATGTTAAGAACTGAATAATTTCGAGGCAAATGTCATGAATTAAGTTCAATAATTTGGTCTTTAAGTTTTGAATTGAGTAGCCCGTCGCCAGTCACAGCTTTCCATCTGTTGTCAGTTTTGGAAGCGTCTCATTTAGCTTTGATTTAGTATACAAACGGAAAAAAATACAGAGAATTCCTCACCAAGAGATTCAAATATGCTGTTGGCAGGACTGTGCCAGTACCAACTTTCCGGCATTGAGGTTGCCACTGTAGTGTGTTAATGAAACTTTACGTATAATGTATTATTTTTAAATAATCTGATTCTTATTTATTTATGCATAGTTAATTAACAAGCGACTTATTTAGGGTTTGATGACAGTTAACATGAGTCAGGGTTTTCTGTGACTTCAATTTCTCATTAGCCTTGGTATTTCTACGAGATTTCGCTAGTAGCCTGACGTTAGCGGTTGGTGAGACGCTGCTGTGTATGTGATGTTCTAAGATAATCAATGTTGGTATAATTGTGGGCTTAAATGTTACAAGAATCGATGTTCTATTGGTCTTCAGTTCTTCTGAATGACGTTTGCCTTCAGGGATCTACGGTTCCTAATTTTTTGACGTAAATACGTCTATAAGGAAGGGTCATTCGGCAAGAATGTGTTACGAAAAAGTGTAACTTCATTGTTATGTTACCTAGAAACGTCATCTGTTTACTCGGAATTGTTGTTACCTATAAAACATTTCATTACATTACTTTACATTACATTCATCTACCACAGACCCATCTTAAGCGTAACTAATTCAAGTTAAATAAGCAATGTCTTAATCAAACTTTACTCAATTGTAAAGCATGTATAAAGGAAATATTTAGAATAAAGCCAATATATAAACTTCCTTTCCGTATAGACGTATTTACGTCAAATTCTCCGGAACCGTAGTTCCACTGACAACTTTTTGTTTTGAGAAGTTACGTGTCAGAGGTCGATTCTTAACCTACGTGAGTCCAGTGTCCTGAAGACATATTCCGGTGTTTCTGACCTGCAAAATTCGGACCGTGACAAATGTTTTGTGAGTGATAGCACGGATGATAGTAATGCTGATAAACATGGCTGTAGTTTGTGGTGGTTTGTGAAGATGCCGGGATGATTCGTACCGAACATACAAGTATTTTAAGCATTATCTCGGTTGTACTCAGTCATTGTTTAATCACCTCAGCAAAGGTGCATCCTGACATTCGCCTGAAGACACTGAGAAAATACCTGTCATAGAAGACGTCGAGGACAGTGGCGCAGTGAGGTTACTGAAGTTTGAATGTAGATGACTTGTCTTTTACCTGTAGACGTAAGGTCCCACTTCTTGAACCTTAAGTTTCTTATCGATTCCTTTCTGGAACTCGTTAGCGTTGGTGTAGTTGAAAATATAGACGGCCATGATCGGCGATACAGGTGGCTTTTCCCACATCCTGTAGGACAAAGTGTTGTTCTCGAGTCCTATGTTCTGAAAACAGTCGTTCACTTTGTACTCTTTCGGGCCATGAAATCAGGAATGTAACGTGAACAGAGGGAACTTTTATGCGCTATTACGAACAATTTATTCGCCGTAAATACGACGAGACGTGCTTATAATGAGTAGAACTAGCTGAATTTTGTGATCACGGTGATGAAAGTGTAATAGACAATTTATTTGTTGAGCAGAATAAACTACTCACAGATGGCTCTGTAACACGCAGTAAATTTGCACATACTTAGAGAACATTTCGTAAATTTAAAACCAAAAATGTTGATCATTTCGCTATGGACTCCTGTTGAATAGTGCTACAGGTGGGTTTAATAATGATTTCCAAGCAATGGATTTATATTTTAAAGTTTTGGGATAGATTCGTCTTTAATATTACAATAAATTAGTTAATTCAACCCCACGAAGTATTTCTTGAGAAGATGATTCTAGGTCAATGTATACACCGACATATATTCAACTAAAAGGGTGATTACAACATTTATGACACCACACTCGGCAATTTGAATCAAGCCCATACCTTAAATGTTATTTTCTTAAGGTCCACTACAATACTGCCCTCCCATCTATATCTAGGTCTCCCAAAGTAATCTCTTCCCTTCGGATTATCCTAAGTATGATTCTGTATGCATATTTTATTACCCACGCGTCCTACAGCTGCGTCCATCTTCGTGTTTAATATTGACTTTATATAATGTACCGTCTCCTTCAGAAAGCAAACACAATTGTACCTTTCGACCTGTTCACTGACGTGGTTTCAAACCGCATGTATCTATTATATACGTATAATCAACAGGTCTGTCATGTCTGTCTCTCCGTCCACGTGATTTACCTCGAGAACCGTTGGATGGATTTGGATGAAATTTGGTACAAAGTTTATGTCATTTTGAACGACCCTAAAATCGCACTTTAGAAATTTCCTGCAATATTCTGGCACCGATAATAGCGCCACTTGTAATTTTTTTTTTATTTAGTGTTCTGTCTGACGACCGGTCCATATGAACAGGATCCTTCCCTCTTTTTCTCGGACTGGGCCCTGTTCATATACGTTCTTGGCAGATGATCCAGCAGTGGTTTGCCATTGCCTTCTTCTGTGTGTGAATGGAGTAATTGTTGGGATGCCACGGAGGAAAACTCCGTGTTGCCTAGACCACGGCCTTGCCCAACACAAGTTATAAATTCGGGCACCGCCGGGAATCGAACCCGAGACCCCAGGATTACAAGGCCAGCGTTCTGACCGTTCCTCGATTTTATCGACATAATAAATATTATATTACCCACATAAATAATTTTATTTTATTTCTCATTCGACTGCATGCAGCCTTAGCATTTAATACAGCGTCATTAAATACAACAACAATCATTTGCGCGCACAGAATTTATGTGGGTTGTGTCTTATGCTCTTAGGTTACTCACTTTGTTCAACCTGACTCTTATGAAGTCGTTGGTCCACACGACAAAGGTGGCAGCAATGACAATGACGACCACTACCGACAGCGCTACCAACCCTGCAACGCAAACAAGATTACAACTGAAATAACAACCTTTTAACACAGTACTTGGCACTGACCAATTTTAGTCAACCCTTTGAAGCTTAAGCTAGTGTGAATTAACAATTAGGAAATCAGTCTGTACCACAAAGTAAACAACTCTTTACCATTACAGGTATTGATTGGTTGATTCTGTTTATAAGAAAATAATCGGTGTTTACTGTGAGAAGAAGACGGAACACATAAGTACAAAATGTAGAATTGTTAAAACAGATGGTATATATAGTTACCATTGAACTGCAACGGTTAATACTGCAGTGAATATCAGTCTAAGTAATCTAAACCCTACATATAGGCCTACCTGAACCATCTTCAGGTGTATTTTTAATCGATATAAATTCAAATGTAATATTCTAAATGCAATCCTTCGTCAGATGTCCATTAAATATCGGAAAGTTATCCTCTTCTAGATCAATTGTACTTTGTTCATGATGGTTCATTGAAAACCGAAACATGTCGTGAAAAAGATGATGCTCTAATTGTAAATCGAACATTTCGATAGAAGGATCATCATTTTAATATATTTTAAATATTTTAAATATTAAATGTTATTTGTAGTAATAATATTTTAATATTTGATAAAATATTTTATTGTGATTAGACGGTTAAAATTAAACAAACAACAGTACTCATTAACAAATTAACTTATAGTTACAGAAAATTAAGACATGTAAATGTTTTCCTGTAGATTTTGTACGTCAGAGGCCAGGGCCTACCCCATTTCTTTGCGTCATTGGAAAAGTAATGTGTCGCCAGTGGTGGACGAAAGTTGAACTTAACTGGAAATAACGTGGTCTCTGATGGCACTGACCAATTTTAGTCAACCCTTTGAAGCTTAAGCTAGTGTGAATTAACAATTAGGAAATCAGTCTGTACCACAAAGTAAACAACTCTTTACCATTACAGGTATTGATTGGTTGATTCTGTTTATAAGAAAATAATCGGTGTTTACTGTGAGAAGAAGACGGAACACATAAGTACAAAATGTAGAATTGTTAAAACAGATGGTATATATAGTTACCATTGAACTGCAACGGTTAATACTGCAGTGAATATCAGTCTAAGTAATCTAAACCCTACATATAGGCCTACCTGAACCATCTTCAGGTGTATTTTTAATCGATATAAATTCAAATGTAATATTCTAAATGCAATCCTTCGTCAGATGTCCATTAAATATCGGAAAGTTATCCTCTTCTAGATCAATTGTACTTTGTTCATGATGGTTCATTGAAAACCGAAACATGTCGTGAAAAAGATGATGCTCTAATTGTAAATCGAACATTTCGATAGAAAGAGCATCATTTTAACATATTTTAAATATTTTAAATATTAAATGTTAATTGTAATAATAATATTTTAATATTTAATAAAATATTTTATTGTGATTAGACGGTTAAAATTAAACAATTATAATCATCACAATATGACGCAACATTATCAACCCAGATTTAATAAATACAATGTCGGAGGTTTTAGCGAAAAATTGTCTAATCATTTCAGTTTCCGTCCACAGCAGACAATTTTTTAACGACAGCTTCAAACAGATTTCAAATATTTTCATCTAATCTCAGACACTTGCAAAGAAAGTTTCATAAATTGAGGGAGACAGTTCACTTACATTAACATGAAAAATAAGACTCATAAATAGATTTTAGCTCACTCACAAAAACATTCTCTATAGTATTAAATAAAGTTGGGCATTATGATCAAAAATGACGTCATGTGTAGTTCGGTTCTCGTCCTCCAGCTGGCGACAACTTCCTTTCCCAACACAGCTCAATACTATCCTCCATCTGTTTCTAGGTCTACACTTGCTTTCCTTACCATAGCAACCTTCTTCCTGACAATATAAACGTAGATTACAAATTTCAAAGCTAATCAGTCAGGACACCAGGTCTCAAGGGTGTAATTCCACACCCGGACATCCCGATAACCAGCACACCTTTATGTTCGAGACGCTGATACACTGCGGAAGACATCGAGAAAAGATCTGAAGCAGACATTAGGATTTAGAGTTTTAAATTAGAGGCCCTATGTACATCAAAACCAGGTTCGCTCCTTGACCTCTGGGAAAACACTATCTTATGTTAACAGATAAGACTGCTAGGCCACGGTCTGCTTGGAGCGACAATCTAAGGTCACCTTCGTATCTCGTAAGGGTCAATTTCTCTGTGTCTGACGATGCAATGGTAACCCTTACAACCTTCGAACGATTAGAGATCAACCGGTGTCATCGCGTGTTATCTTGCAGAACAATGTTTTCTTCTCTTATCCTCAGGTTTTAAACGACCTGCATGTTAAACCACCTCGTTCCGACGGTTTCTGATGTAATATGAATGTCAGATGACATTTTCGTAAACAGACCTGTCATCACTCGACTTTGTGCAACATTTGTCTTGCATTTAATATCCACTCGTCGCTCTGAAGTTTCGACGAATTTCCTCCAAAGCCAGGAAAACAACGTAACAGCGACTGCGCAAATGCGAACGAAGTCCCTCGTTCGGTCGCTGGCCCCCCGAATGGCGCTGCTGTCAGTTGCGTTACAACACCTGAGTAGAAGTGAGCGTGCGGGAGTTGTGTACAAATGGCGAATCACAAGAGCGTGGACTGCGCAGGTGCGGACCCTGCTTAATACACGCGAATTCCGAGACAGAAAATAGTCCACAAATGTCGTTCAGGCATCAATGATTTCTTGGTAAATCTGTAAGCGATTTTAACTGATTCATGTCGAATCGTTTCTGCTTGTCGAAGATCCTTGACTAAGGAGATGGTGATTTAGAAACATGCACGACAATATCCATATTCAGTACTTCTGATTGCCTACGGAAAACAACCGAACATAACCAACAAACACTGAACCTTTAATTGTCGTATGTCTTGCGTCATTGCGGAATGAAGCCCTTGTGTAAAATAGTTTAAAAAAAACACTAACGACAGTTTCTTTCTTCAGTGATTAGTAATAATAAATTTATTGTTCTGTATTCTATAAAATTTGAAATTAATTTGAAACTTAAATATTGTAGTTTTTAGTTTGCAAGTGATAAAATATTACGTCTTTATCGTAAAATATCAAACTCTTCAGTCAAAATACATTCATATTTCATCACGATAAGTAGGCCATAAGAAGACATGATAACAAGATGTAAAAATATATTACATAAACATTTCTTAAGATACTTACACAATATAATTCTTCGAATTTTGTTTACATTTTAATAGAGTCCAAGCTAAAGTTATTTATCGTTGGTTGTAACTTCTGTGTCTCAATTCAGACCGCTTTACAATGTCCCGCAGATAGATTCACGATTCTTGATTGGTTTAGTCGTAATTATTACGAGCAATGCATGATGAAGGTTAAGAGATAGAAATAATTTGGTTTTCTTGCGACTGACTATAAAGATAGCGAACAACATTGAAACTATACTGTAACTAACTTCAATTAATATTTCATAGAAAATTAACCGACGTTTCGGGAGGTGTCCTTGTCAACCTGATTCATGATCATGATGATTATGACAAAGACGGCCACCGAAACGTCGGTTTTTACCGCCACCTGACGCAGCTAATTCCCCTCAAAGACTATAGAAGACATAGATCATACTTAACTCGCTCGCTCAGTCTGTGGGTCAGAGCCCTTCTTCAGAAGCTGATAAGATGCTGAGCGATTTATTAATTCCGACATCTTTTCTTCTGTACCTAACTACACTAATAATTAAAATATAAAAACCCAAATTTTACGTAGAGACGCGAGGAGAGAAGAAACTTGATTTATTTCCCTGATAAACTGAAAGTTAAAAATTTTGAATACTGAGAATTACATGGGTTTTTTTCACATTAGAGAGTTGGCAAGACTGTACCATCTCAATCAAGACATTGAAAGGTATTTAACTGTTTGAATGAACTTCCTGTCTGACGGCGACCGCTGAAATTGAAGATAGTTTGCTTTAATTCGTGATTCTCAGGCCACATTTGACGTCATCCACTCTTTTAAATAGTATTAACTCATTTATTCCTGGACATCAGATGTTAATTTTCCCCACAATTCTGATAGCCGTTGATCTTGATATATCTTATGGAAAGAATTAGAGAGTACCGAATTCCGTCACCGCGAGCGCAAGCGGCAGTGGATTTGAAAATGGCTCGTAAAATTTTCTCATACCACAGTTAGACGAAGATGACTAAAAAGGGACGCATTCACTTCCAGCAAGACGGCGTACCACCTCACTACCTCACAGAAGTCCGGGATTTCCTCAATAACCGTTTCCCAGGTCGGTGGATTGGTCGAACAGGGTCGATACCATGGCCACCTCGATTTTTTCTTATAAGGTTTCATTAAAGATCGTGTGTATGTTCCACCCTTACCTGCCAATTAAGCTCGAATCACCGTCGCAGTTGCAGATGTGACACCGGATATGCTGGACCGTGTTTGGCAAGAAATTGATTTCAGGTGGGATGTCTGCAGTATCACCAATGGCAATCACATCTAACCAAAATGACTGTTTGAGGTAAAACTTGATTTGTTTTGCTACAAAATGACACCTCAACCGATTCTTTAAGCCTTCTGAATAAATTTCTATACACTTTCAAAGTTTTAAAGTCCTTTTTTAATCACCCTGTATTAATATTTAGATGTTACAAAGGTAATATGGGCGAATATGTAGCACTCAAGTGAGAGATGTGAAGTGACAAATAATTTAGTGGGATAACCTAATCGAAGGGACTACTTCAAAGACCTAGCGGAAGATGAGTGGATAATATTAAAATGGTTATTAAATAAATGGTTTTTGAAGACGTAAACTGGATAGGGTTCAGTGGCTGTATATTGTTAACACTGTAATGAACATTCCGTTTCAATAAAAATGGGGAAAATTGTGACATCGTAAATTGTTATTTGCATCTTCAAGGACTCTGCTCCATGGTGTCAATTAATAGTACATCCGCCTTTGAGATTATCA